ATAAATGTTTCATGCTTCAAGCCTTCCCTTGCTCCATTCATTTCATGGTAAGGAGTGATGTGAATAAAGCTAAACTATAGCTTTATATAGATAGCGAGGGGTGATCTATATAAAGCTATGCTACAGCAGTATACTGTGAGAGGCCTGCCATTTAACAAAATCTTCTCAATAGATAATGCATATATTATTAATACTATATAATTAAAGTGCCTTCAATTGATCCTAAAATGCAGAAACATGCTATATAACTACAGATAAACATTTGTCATCAGTATTATAACCACCCAATCAAGTTTGGCATTTCTAAATGTGCATTTTAGCAGAATAAGCTCTTTTTGATATGGTGTATGTGTATGTGGAGCTGCAGGCTTAGTGAATCACTATTCTTATTAGCACAAAAGTCTAACATAAGCTTAGCAAGAAGGCCTAAGCAGCTTTACACACAACTCACTGAAGACTCTAAGCGAGTGAAACTGAGACAGAATCTTTCTGATTATTAAATTTATAGTGGGAGCTACTTTGTCTCATCTGTTTATTCTGTAAGACAGAGACTGGGCGGCAAAGGGCTGTTTACTATTTGTATGATCATGCTTATTCATAGATCATTACATTATTAGTAAATGTTAAGGTTTAGTGATGCTCCTATGCCAATTTAGTAGTTTTTGGGCATAACAATAATACCTAAAAATATTTGACAATTTATTATTGAACACAGATTATTTCTGTGTTTAAATTTAGAACTTTAGAGTAAAGTACAAAACTACTAAACTAATATTTTTTTTTTCCATTTTAAAACAGTTAAAATGTAACTACGACTTAGGGGTACAACAGTACGTGACGCTAACTGTAGTTACCATTAAACTAAGAATGCATCAAGAGATCCAGCTGTACTGCTGATAAACTGAAATTACTCATGTGATTTAGTACTGTCCTCCAAAAAATGCTATCAGTGCACCTAGTAAGTCTTATTTATGACATGTAGACTTGCTGACATGCAGTGTTATTCTGCAATACCAGACAATTACATCAGCTACGTGTTTAGCACTCTCTCACTGAATAACAGTCTGTACTAATAAGACTCACCGACTCACCAACATACTCATCCATGTTAAAGGTCTTCACATATTTAAAGGACAGATCTCCACTCTTGTGATACTCAATCAGCTTCCTATAGCAGCCCAGTGGAGTGCTTCCTGAAACATTACATTGAAAACAACACTCAAAGACCAGTAAAACAGTGAAAATTTCATGATCCAACATTCTCAAATAGTGATATTTTACTGATGGCATCAAGCCCTGAAATAAAATACAGTAAAAACACTCTAAAGCACTCTCCTCAGAATATCTGCTTGTAAAGTGGACAGAACAGATGCAGTTCAAGCATGTCACAGAGCGAATTATATGCAGACCTCTCTCTGTTTCATAAGGAGAATAAATCCACATATACATCACCAAGAATGAGGATAAAATTTTCTTCCATCATTATGCACTTTTTGCTTACCAGTTGGCAGGCCTAGAGTGAAGTATCTGTCTGCGCTGGGCTTGAACTGGATAATTCGGTTACGGATGTATTTGGCAGCCCACTCGCTGGCCAGATCATAGTCATCAAGAATTACAAGTCTCATGATTGCCTTTAAAAAAAAATAAATAAATAAAAAAAGTTAAGATAAGCACAATCAATAATGCATCAATGCCCACTGGGCAGTCAGTATGATTAAATCATGAACATTGTTAACAAGACTGAGAGTAGATAAAACAAATACAAAGAAGCAAAGAATGACTAAATACGCTGCTGAAAAAATCTTTTTAATGAAAAATTAAATGTACTCGTATGCTTCTATTTTTTCCTCTGTACGTCTGAACTCCACAGATTATACAGTAACACATTGCAGTAAAAGACTAATCATGTATCAGAAAAGAGTGGAAACATACTTGCTAGGTGATGGAGGACGTGTAATAGATAAGTGTGCCATTACATAAAGGTGATTTACCTGAAAACAGACTTGCCTATTGAATTTAGGAAAAACAATGGATGTTAGAGAGGGGTTCCAGGTTCTGTCATGGACAAGCCACGATTCATAACATGGTCTATAAATGCTGCCTGAATGTACTGTAATTGGAAAATTCTTGAATGTCATCCAGTATGTTTCTCCCTCTCCTCATAAATGCTTGTTTCCAGCCGCCAGTTTGTCATAATCTAGGACAATGGTCCCCATAAACACTTTGTTTCAGGAGAAAAAGGGAACGGCTGTCCCTCAATATTTAATGTGAAATCCTTTTTCTTTTTTTGCTTTTACAGAGGTGAGTATGCAGCCCATTGTATTGAAATTTTCATAGTATCACTGACAACTTCCAAGAAAAAAAAAATAGATCCAATGATATGACACACATGGTCTCAAGAGAGTGTGCCATTGTCATAGGGGTGGGCATATAACACGTTATTGTTATTGTAAATTATGCCACAATAAACTTTTCTGAGTATATTGTGAGTATTTCAAACACTCAACAGCTGTATCTATTATAAAAATGACAGATTTTCTGTAGTAATTTATTTGGCAAACATCAAAAAATGTACTTTTAAATCTTTTTTTATGTGCAGTTTTTTTCCAACTTGTCCATGAACCCCAGAAAAATCTAATATCGAGATCCACATAGTGTATCTAAAAATACCTTGAAGTTTAAGATGCTATACTTTCGCCTTTTCACCCACCCGTACATAGACATACTACTTAAATAACCTGACAGTTACCTGTGTTTTGTGTCTTTTTGGCTGTTTATTTAGTGTTTGAGAGAATTTACTCACTTTATCACAAACTGTATTGTTTGCTTTGGTGATGTGTTTAATGTTGTGTGTGAGTTTAAGAGTTTCGCACAGAAAATATGAGATTCTGACCAGCAAGATTCTGACTAGTATCAGGTGTTACCTGTTTGAAAATATGACTTTTGCTCTGAATTTGACAAAAGTGTTCAAGTAAATGAGAAAAAACAGTAACAGCATGTTAATATTAATTAACAACATATTTTTCCAACAAGAAGTGTAAATATGTTAAATACACATATTGCCAAACGCCTGAATTAGAAAAAAGAAACTTTGCACTGATAAGAGCAAGATGTGTCAACAACCGATGCTAAAGCAATACAAAACAATAGGCTAAAAAATAGCAAGGAATTATTAACACATCTATAACCTCAGTCTTTACTAATGCCATTTCTTTCTAATGACACTTAAAGCAATGTGTTTTGTTAAGTCTTCATTTCCACACCCTGCCTTCATGACATGTTACACGTTGCTAACATGCTGCTCTTTTCTGTACTTAAAAAATGATCAAGCATTAAATGCTGGTTTAGATGATTCTATTTGTTCAAAGATGGCTTAACAAAACACTATTTTTTATTTCCACCTATTTGGACATGAAAAGCACTCATGGCATTATGTCCTTAGTCCCTAATTGTTTTCAAACTATGGAAGCCCACTCCCACTGGGTGAACAAAAAAAGACTTTTTATTATTATAATGACTAAGTATTTTGAAGTAATCACTTATCCTTCACAAATAACTATCATTTCTTAATTTACTGGAATTCAATATCTTATTTTTTGACATGTAGTCACAATTCTGCTGAAAAAAAAATAAAATAAACTGGTCTAAACTGATCTGTGCTGGTTTAGTACTGAATTTGCTGGTCACCCAGCATGATCATGCTGGTTGACCAGCACACCAGCATCCAACACACAACAGGCTGGTCTATGCTGGGTTTTCTAGCAGGGAGTGAAAATAAGTTATTCTGACTAGGCAGTGCAAAATTTAGAAAACACAAACAATTGTTTAGCGATACTAAGTCAAAATCACGAGAATATAAAACATAACTTCGATATATCAAGTCAAACGTTTGAAATGCTGCTTCTGGAAAAATGGAAGGAGGAAAAACTGGGCCACTTCTTCTACTCTACTCGGCGGAAATACACTTCCATTTGGAACAGAGCCTCAACTGTGAAAACAAGCTATACGAGTTATGTTTTCAATTAATAACTTTACCTGTAATGCGACAGACGAACTGAACCAATAAATCTATAGCCTTTAAAATAAGATGTGCACAGAGTGCTGACTGACTAGATGAAGTTTCCCCTCCTGAAGTTTAGCTCTCCAACAGAGCCAGGTTAAGGTTAACTAACGCTAGTAAAGGATAGCGCCTCCAGCAGCGCTCAGCGCCTGACTGCATACACGCTTCGACTGTATAATATCAGGAGATTCAGCACAGTAATTCGCTAAAGCTGCGGTGGGTGTAAAAGACCACTTTACTCACCGTGAAAAACTACAGTAGCCTCGTATGTGAGCGACTGAATGGAGCTCTGCTTGTTTTTTTTTTTGTTTTTTTTTGTAAACAGTGATCATATGATAGCTTTCTGGTCATATGTTCTGACGTCACGAATCTCGATCTGTCATTGTATGGTGGCCGAAGAGGTTCAAACATTCTGAGCCCACATCTGCGATACGCGTTTGCTCAAAAAATGTAGGTTAATTATAGTCAGTGATTGTAAAATTGATATTTGCGACATCAGCCATTAAATACTGACATCCCAACAGCTGTAAATGTGAACACATTTATTATACAAATAGTTTTGGTCTGCACAGTGAAGTGCAGAAGCCTGTGGAAATAAGGCGTTTGTTTGGCTTTTGTTCTGTATTGCTTTTCTCATTTTATTTTAGTATAAAAGGCTGTGATCTCTCTCACGCCATTTTATTTGGAGTCTTTTTCAGCGCATGCTACCCAGGCTGACCTTGCAACGCGAACCCTGGGGCGAGAGAGAGAGAGAGAGAGAGAGAACACAATGATGTGCGATGGAGAGAGAGAGAGAAGGCAGGCAGAAGGGAAGGGAAGGGAAGGGAAGGGAAGGGGAGGGAAGGGGAGGGGAGGGGAGGGGAGGGGAGGGAAGGGGAGGGGAGGGGAGGGGAGGGGAGGGGAGGGGAGGGGGTGGGGTGGCCTAGCCAGACCTCGCAGGATTAAGTCCTTCTGCTGACAGCATCCAGCCCAAACCCGCCCTTCCACACGCTCGCACGCCGTGCTCCATCCCTGTCCCACGCTCGGATTCAGCCCAAATCTGACACTTCGCGCCGCCTGGACACCTCCGATCCACTCACACACACCCCCCAGAGCCGGTGGTGGTCCCACCTACAGCCACGAGGTGAGTGCAGGTCTCGCTTCTGTGAATGTGTACTGCTTGCTTAACGCTATCTTTTATGTAAATAGCACCGAGGCCCATGCATGGCGATGCACCTTGCACACAGCGAGGGCTTTTGCCTGCGTTTGATGTGGCTGTGATTCAGCCGCTTGCTTTAGCCTACAGGCTACAACTGCAGGAGCTGCACACACGCGTGTCCCCTTTTAACAGGAGCGCAAGAGAAAGATGCCAATCGGATTAAGATTACTGAAGAAAATTAAATAACAAAAGACTGACTTTTTTGTCTTCTTTTAGAGCCTAATTAAAAAACCACTTAAGTACAAAAAATCAGTTTTTATGGGGGAGCATCTAAAGCAGATTGATCTCTCTGAATTTAACGTTATTTATTTATCGCAGACCAAATAAATGGGTCAGACAATACAGAAAACAAAACCCTTCATACTGACAGTGTGAATGGGACATAGCTGAAGTTACGTTCTTCGTGAATGAATTAAACGATCTTAAACCACTGACAGATTCACCCAGTCGGTCGTTTGCCTTCATGAGAAATGATGGGCTTGCTCATTGTTTGGCTGGTAGATGCTGCTCATGTGGAGAAGCCCCCTCACGCCGGTGGAAAACTACACTGGGGCTTTTGTGTGAGGGAGGGCGAACACGCGCTGAGACGAAACGGCACCGTGTGCTCGGATAAAAAGAAAGAAATAGCGCTGAAGTGGCGATTCGTCTATACCATGTGAGAATGTCTGCTAGACGAAGAGCCAAAACAAAGCGCTTTAGAGAAAGTGCTGCTGTTCTTCTCTGAGGTGTGGCTCAGCAGACCCAGTAGACCCTCACTCACTTTCTCAGCGGGGCTTGAGCTGCATGCTTAATGAACGGGCTGCTGTGTTCTGGACTCAGGCACAGTCAGACTGTAGCAGTGAGCTTAGTAAAGCCAGTGAAGGTGTGGTGATACACACGAGTTCAGGTTCGATATGATGTTGATTCTCAGGTCAATATTCGGTTTGATTTTTTTCTGATGTTTTATGAGCTACAAATGTCTCGATTCTGCAGAGCTTATATACTGAACAGATTTGTTTGATAGACATTTTCACTGGCTGGGTCCTAAAACTGCTAACGTTTATAAGCCTTCAAAAAAAGTCTAGTCAGACGTCAGATGAGAGACCCTCGAAAGAGACAGATGGATGTATTGATGATGTGGTGTAATTAGTTTACTGAAACCTGATATATGGAAGTATATGGATTGCAAATATATGACAAATAATAGCAGTTATGGATTTCCCATATGTGCAACTTATTAGTCACATAGGGTGATGTATGAGACATATATGCCTGCTCATTTGAAACTGGCTATTTTCAGATATGGTATACATATTTCAGTCATATATCAACATATATAAACCAATATGTTTATGTTTAACAATATATTATAGAAAGCAATATTCATATATGGATGGCATGTATTCAAGGCTTTGGTGTATTTCATTTTCTTGCTTTAAAAAGTCTGTCAGTGTTTGTATCAGGCATATTATCTATGCAACGGACATAGACAGACAGTATATATGCCTGACCGTTTATGATATACGTGCATATATGGCCATATCAGATTTCCGTATGAGCTTTGACACACTGTGTTTTGAACATTGATTTTTCAAGTTCAAATCGTTAGATATGTTTTTCTTCGTATTTGTAAATTCATGAAAATAAAAGAGCATAAAACGCATTTTGTTGTGACACATCATTTGACTAAGCTATGAAAATGGTAATAACCTCTAACTTCTGACTTGGTTCTATGAAACCTTTAGAGGGCAGCAGTGAGTAATGTTTGTTTATTTGAGCTCGAGCTGTGTTGTCGTCAGTTGGAAGCTACTAAGTAGGGCTGTTTGAGTCCAGAAATTTTGGAGTCGATTCTGATTCCAAGAGTCAGTTTCACTTAAGAATCTCAGTTCCAAAATAACAAGACATAAGGACATCTGGCTAAAAAAAGGACAATATTGATTACATTTGACCGTAGCAGGGACATTTTGGAGAGCTAACGCTAGCTAAATTAACCTTCCTGACTTCACCTGATTCTCCTCAGTCAGCTCTTTCAGGTGAGTGGATGTTCTGGCACTGGCAGAGTTGTTTATTTGTAAGTCTATTTTTCACATTTTTCTTTGTTTTCTACTTTGTCTAAAGTAAAATACAGACTGTTGTGTGAACTGTGGGAGGCTGTGTTTTTCATGCAATCTGTCTAGACAAAGACAGGCTACTTCTCTGGTGCATAAACATTAAGACAAGGACGTGAGTGCACCTGTACTAGTGGGCTAACAGACAATATATACACACAATAAAGACAAACAATTAATGGACAGTACAATAAATAGAGAATGAACTGGTGCATAGACAGTGTGTATGTATGTGCAGCATTCTCAAAGATCTTTTTGGTATAATTGGAGAAGTAGGAAGTGGCCAGGCTACCAATGGACTCTGCCTGAATGTCTGGAATTGAGGAATCTATTTTTCTGGATTTGTCACATTGTCTTAAGAAATGTACAATTCAACAACTAATCTTAATTATTTATATGGTAATTAATCATCTGCTAAAAAGTCATGATCGTGACAAGCAGAAGTGCGTGATCAACTAAGAGAAGAAGGCCATTTGTCACTGTGATACAAATGCAAATAATTGTCAGTGGCTCAACCCTGTTCGAGTGAGAGGTGTGTGTATTTTGTGTGTGTGCGTTACTTTGTATGTAGAAGTGCTGTGTAACCATTAATGTGCAACACTGCTGTGTGTATGTGTGTTGCTTCAGGGTCTGTGTCATGATTCACTGATGAATGAGGAACATGTGATGAATCTGGCTGTTGCTCTCAATGTGAGGGAATATCCAGGCAGTTACTTGCACATCAGGAAATACTGGCAGCTCTGCTGTCCCATAGTCCGTATCTCTTTCTCTCTCTCTCTCTCTCTCATGCACACACTCACACACGTGTGTAGACATATGGGACCAGACATTTGAGACTGTGTGGAGAATTGATTGGCCATTTCTGCACACACTGTCAAACTGCAGCTGCTTCCTCAGACACAAGCAAGCCCACCTTTCTAAATAATATTCTGACTTTCAGAACAAGACCTGATGGCAAATCCTGACCCAATGTATCATGCTGTCTACTTAATCAGCTCATCAATCCCTCCATCAACCAGTTACTGTTAATTGAATCGCTAATTGGAGTGACTCTGTGTGAAAGTGTGTACTTTATGAATAGACCGAAAGGTCATGGAAGTCTGTCCAGCTGTCTTTACACAAACACGCACTCTCGCAAATGCCTCACTGCATCTTCAAAGCCTCTCCACTTGCCCATTTATCAGACAAAGGGCATAAACAGAGAACCTGCACTTGTGCACTATTAATCACCAAATGGTGGTGAGATTAAAAGCGTGCGGGGGCCCAAAAGTCCTTGGTCACCGTTGCTGTTGGAATTGAATTGAAAGGCACGCAGGAGGCTCTGTCTTTATTATGCTAATGGAATGCTTTGACAGACGGGACCGTATGAGAACGGATAGATTTAATTAATGTAACGGAGGAAATGCAGAATCATTAGCCATGCCAACTAAAAACCACTGCACAGCAAAATAAGAAACGAAGAAGAGAAATTCTGGGGAGCCATTAACAGAATTTGTGTTAGATGTTGCATTTTTAAGCAGTTTGACCTAGTTATGGTTCAGCTGTATGAACAGCATGTAATTTTGATCTGCACCACTTTCTTGGTGTTTCCAGTGTCAGTGCTGCCAGTCTCAGTTTAACCATATCAAACCACAAGCCTGGAAAGCAACATGACTCCAAGATTTTCTTGTTCTTTTTGATTTTTGGGATGCTTAATTTGAAGATAACTGCTTGGTCTCCCATTAGGTTGTGAAATAACCGCTACATATCAACAGGGAGTTGGACATATCTGTTGCCACATAGGGTTTTCTCACACGCACAAACACACATACATATTTTCTTTTCTTTACATATTTTAAAAGGCTTCTTTATTTGCTAATTTTTTAATATTTTGGAATTTTCAAAAAGGCTGTGCATGGTTTGTTATTCTTCAGTACAATCCATTTTTGTTTGGCCTTTTTTAAAAACTCAATTACTCAATTAATCTCCATAAATCGGTAGATTAGCCGATTACTGTTGATTTACCATCGATTAGGGCTACGACAGCTAATTGTAGATCACATGATTAAGAAGGAAATCCGAATATTGGAGACTGCGCTACAGGTTTGGGCACAAAAAAATCAAAAACCATGAAAACACTGCACTGTAAAGTCACGTAAAAAGACTGTTTCCTGTATGATATGTAAAATCAAGAGCAGTGGGCATGACATCACGGTGGTCAGATGTGAGCATGTAAGACAATAAGTAACACTGCTTACACGGCATAAACTCAGCATGACGAGACACTAAACTCTTAATCGATACTAAAACTGTAGTCAAAAGTGAAAAATACTGCATCAGTGCTGTTCAGCTCATTCGGTTTTGGTTCAGCAAATAGAATAAGCAGCACTGGCTGGGATGAACTGCATTTTGAAACTTTATCTAAACTGCTCAGCTAAACAACATGGTTATCAGGACTGCTTGTACCCTAATGCACATAGACCAGCTCGAGTGGGTTTTTTTTTTTTACTCCAGCTTTTAGCCTCCAGTCCACACAAACGCAGAGCTTTTTTTTAAACTCTGATTTCAGAATTTGAACGTGGGCTGATAAAAATGTTTCTGTTTATGGTCATTGTCGTTTTGCGTGTGATGAGCTGCTTTAGGTCTCCGTATCTGACATGGCTGACTGGACTGTTAATGTGTAATCTGTATTATCAGATTTCATTACACAATGATATTAAATGCACGGAAGCAGTTTAATATATTTTTGCTTTATTATTGGAGGAGAAATGTAACATATTCGTGGTGCACCTTTCAGAAACAGTTTTCAGGAGCAATGCAGAAAATCTATTTCTGTGCCTTTGATAAAAGCCCTATGAA